ATTACCTGAAGTCAGAGTATCTCTGAATTTCAGACAATTCCTAAGACTAACATTTTGGGGAAAATATTTTAAATCAGTTTAATTTACATTCAATCTAAAGTAAAGACATCATCTCCTTCAGCTCTGCTTGTACATTCTGTGAACTCAAAATGCTCTAAACTTCTCATTAAGCATATAAAACACGTATGCCAGTGAAGCTATCGTTACAGGTAAAACTGCTCAGTCCATACATATTTTGTTCTCCAGTTCAAAAAAAGTATTTGTGAATATACAACGTATCATTGCTATGATATTTTAAATATCACTTTGTAAATGTGTAAAATATGTTATACAATTTCCATATCTCTTTTACCAAAAGCTGACAATAACATGGACAACTAAACAATCCAGCTGATTCAGTACACCTTGTTATCCTGGTATTCACACATGCTCATCCTTAATAACAGTAAATATGACATATGTCAGGATTCCTTGCCCCTGAAGGGTGAGCTACTTTGCATTTGTCAAAAAGCAAATGCCCTAGAGAAGATGCAGAATGGTAGCTTGATACCTCATGTAAAGTGCATATTCTTAAAGACTGCACTATTTTTGTCTCTATTTATCTGCCAGTTCCACTGTCCTTCTCTAACTCCCTCTTGTCCAGTTTCAACCAAACTTGATTGCGGCAATGTGAAAATAGCACCTGGGTGCAGGATAGAAACCTCATTAGCATCTCTTCTGGGAATAAATAAATAAATAAGCAAACAAACAAAAATGGCAAAAAGCCAAAATTCAGCACTCACAGCTCTGATCTCAGGAGATGCTGCCTTCTGTACAATATTAAATATACTGGTTTTAGGCAGCAGATGAGAGTGCTTTCTCACTCACAGATGAGAAGGAACACAGGAAACTGACGCTGGCTTACTGTGGAAGGTATTGGGAGGAGATGAGAGTATTGTTAGCAAGCTGAAGCCACACAAAACTGACCTGAAAAAGTTGTGTTTGCAGCTGCTGATGGGGGGACAATGTGGCTTTTTCAACAAAAACAAAAATGAGTTATTGCATCATCTATTAAACTTGCAAAACTCGTTGCCAAAGGATATTATGGATGTTGAAATGGGCTAAAGAGACAACTAAATAAGGCACAAACACAGAACTGTAGAGACAGAAGAGCAATCCTTTGAGGGCTGCTACAATGACAAAACCACACCTAGTTTAGAAACTTCCTGTAGGTAAAAATAATTGAAAGTGAAATGGAAATGGAGAGTACCACATATGACCTCTATATGTAAATACCTACGGGAAATTATGAGAAGGGAAATCCTGGAGACAGGGTACTGCATTAAATGAATTCCCTTGGGCTGATTTGCTATGGCTGTTCTTAAGTGGTATAAGACTTAAACAAGGGTATTAAGGATATTGGGAATGGGCAGGAGAGCTGATGTTATTTTAGTAAGCATTTGCAGGTGATGTGGAGCACAAATATGAAAGAAGCAGAATTTTATTAGTTTTATTGTCAAAGGAAAAATAATTAAAAGCAACTAGTAATAGATTCATAAAATGAAAAGCATTGGGAAATATGTCGAGCTGATGCTAGGATAGTGATAACATCTGAATATTTCATCACAGTGATTCAAGCATTATGATGCAATTATATCTTTGGAGAAAAAGTCAGTAGAGTTTTGGTGTAAGTAATTCTTCACAGCCATTAACCCCCAACTTCCTACTGGATCTGTTTGCACTGAAAAGCCAGGATCTCCCTTGGCATATTCCACCAAGCATGGAGGAGATTATAGCACCAACTGTTGCTTTGCTCCAGCACTTTGCTGGTGAAAGAGGAAAGCACTGCCAGCCAAGAGGCAGGGCAGGAATCCCCTCAGTACCTGCATGTAGTGCCACTGCCACAGCATGAACGAGTAGTGGAGTCAAGGATAGGCAGAGGCAGAAGTAAAGGAGGGCCAGGTAAAATGGTGACAGACCAGGCCAGGATGTCAGCTATACAGAAAGAGGCATGAAAAATATTATAGATGCAACAAAAATATTGATACCTAATTTAATTTTTTTTAATACTGTATTTCCATACCAGTTAGAACTGCTTTCTTACCATATTATTGTATGAGTATATAATCCTTAACTCCAGGCAACAAGACAAGATTTGCCTGTAATTCCTAAAACCTTTTTTTGTACTTATTTTGTTTACTCCACAGAAAAGGAAAAAAAATTTGTACTGTACTGAAAAAAATAAGCATCTCCAGGAACAATATCTGTGCACTCAGGCATTCTGGATAAGTACCTTCATGAACTATATTTGGACAAACACATTGAAAGCTATTTAAAGCAAATACACTTTTCTGGCCAAAGTTCATGACATTTTAATACTAAAAGAGTTTGGAAATAAGTATTTTTTTGTAATTCCTTATAAGTATGGCTTGTTAAAAAAAAGGGCTTACACTACTCTCTTAAAGTAGAGTAGGGAAATGTGAACACTCCTGACTGAATAATCAGAATGAAACCTTAATTGGAGTTTCAAGATCCTGTGCACTGAAAAGAGCTCATAATCTTGAGAAGGTAGCAAAGTGTTCCTAGACTCATGAGTCTTTTAGCTTTACAAGACCTACAAAACTGAATAGCCACATAAAAAAGTTTTAAAATCGGCAGTCTTGAGGTTCATGCATAACAACCAAGAAGCAAAGTTAGTTTACATAAAGTAACAAAAGTTGCTGGATTTGGGGAAAATTGTAGAGTGTTTCAACATGTATTGTGCAGATACGTACAGCTACATAATTCACTTCAAAGAAGTGTTCATTATTCTTAAGGTTAAGAGAAACTTCAATTATTTTGGAGACTTGTCTTTAACTCAGAGCCATTGCCAGTTGTAAGGCAGAAGGATGCAAAACATGATGTAAACAGAGGTATACACCTTACAATCTGTCACGATAACTCTTTGCCTTATTTCATCCTCCATGAACAACTAAGTCAACCAGAAGCATCTGAAAGCACTCTGAACAAAAACCAGATACAAGTAATTGTTATGACTCCCATGTAACATATGGAGGGAAAGGTTATTTGCTAAGAGCAAGGAACTGCAGAATTAAGTACTGTCTACCAGGCTTCAGCAAATCAAATAATAACACAGAATGAAAGATACACACCTTACCCAGACAGAAAAGTGCAAACTGAAATAAAAAATAAAAAAAGCCTTTTTTTTTTTTTTTTTTTTCTGCTGTGTTTTCCTTGTTTCGAGTCAATTTTCCTGTCTGTTTTCAGATCAGACAGACTATAACAGTGCATGTTCTACCTTTTCTACCACACAGTATAAAATCATAATTGTCACTATCTGGAATTTTTTCTTGTCTTAAAATGACTGTGGTAGAGAACACACTTCTTGACAAGTTTGCAGTGGTCACCCCAGTTGGTACAAATGATTAAAATATACCCCAAATAAATAGGAAAATATTTCTCAGCTGGTTTTGTTAATTTTTCAATGGAAATAAGACTTTCACTGGGTGTTTTTGACTTTTAAAGTGTCTTATAATCCTATAGCCCCATCACAACAGGTATTTAAAACACTAGAACACCAGTAGCAGAAGTGCTTTATTTGTGAAGCTGTATCTAGAGAGGTACTGCTCAGCCATCATACCAGCAGTTTTCAATGAAAGTATCCAATTCTGTTATGTGATCTTGTTGTTTGTATTAACTATTTCAAATGCCTATACAAACTATAAATTGACACTTCTTTATTTTCTAGCTTTTCATGATAGATTTCAAAGACCATACTAGGTTACATACAGTAACATTTCAAACTAAATAAACTGAATGTACAGAAGTATAGTAAGAAACAAAACCCATATAATTTAAAATCTTATCAACTGAAATACTGCAGTTTAGTAATAGAAAATAAATTAAAGGCATGCATAAATAATAGAAATAGCATATTTTTTTTCTCTCTTTTTAGATAAGTGATCAGTTTGCTACGCCTTTACTTTCAGGTGTTAAATCTGAGAAGTCCATTCAAGTAAGTTCAAATAACAGTTCATATTTTCACATATGAAAGCCGTGAGAATCATTATCAAGACATAAACCAATCAACCTGTTACTGTTTTATCTTGCACTTAAATCAACTGAGTTTGAGTTTGTTTATTTTATTAGAAAGTAATTACTTACTTTCTAAGTAAGATTCTAAGTACCTTCCCTTGGAGACTAGAAACATTTTGTGCTCCGTGAGAAAAAGTAAAAGCCAGGAGTGAATTAGCTGCATAGTTATAGCTGACTGGTGACATTTCGGTTTCCCTAAAATATTTATCTGATATGTCTCTATGGGGCTGACATACAACACAGGATGTATCTTCTGGACTGGCAGCGTGAACCCATGCAAGATATCCTTCAGTGCCTGTAATGGTACTAAACACTTAGGTTTGAACTGCTCTGCAAGCTCCAAATTTGCTGCTTTATCCCATACTCCATTCTTTTGTTTATCTGAAGTATTTTGTCTCCTAGACAGTATATTGGGATTCTTAGTTCCCATGGATTCTTTTTGTTGGGCTTTGGCAAAGAAGCTGTGGAAGTGCACAGAAGCTTTCGTGGAACTGTTTGAAGTGGCACATCCAATTCCTTTTTTTTTTTTTTAGTACAAAACTGTCTTTGATCTCTCCATCTTTTCCCTCACCCGCTAGGAACACACCACACAGAATCCAGCCTTCTGCTCAGTTTGCCCCCAAAGAGCCCAGTAATGGATTTTCCCACATCCTACCCAGAACTTTTAAAGCCCAGCGAACGATCACCTCTCTCTACCTCTATAACGTTTGAGAGTCACTTTTCCTACGTCTTCCTGACACACATGGAGCGTACACATTGCTGTTCCTACTATGCTGTACTGCCCAGGTAAATAACAGCACTTCCCCCTCCACACACACTATCCCTCCAGCTACTCACAGGGCAGATGCTCAGAGCATCTCCTGCTTGCAAAATACTATTACTCACAACTGGCTAGTATTTTCTCTAAACCATCCTAATATACTCACAGGGTCTGGGTATCTTCTGGAAGGCTGGGAATGAAGTGAATGTCCCTGCAGGTGATTTTATAGTCATCCCAGTCGGAACACTCGCAAAAGGCTGAAGGACACCTCTCTGTGCTGTGGCTGCACAGCACCAGTACCAGCAGCAACTGGAAGGCTACCGGGAGGCTCAGCATCTTCTGTCTCCCGTTCCCGCTCTGCCCCTCGATCCTCCGAGGGGAAGGGAGGAGACACCAGGGCTGCAGGGGCAGAGCACGCTGCCCCGCCGAGAAAAGCCGCTCGGGAAAGGCGTCACCTTTGCTGAACGACACCGCCTCCTCCCTCAGCGGGGACAGGAAAGGTCTCCCCAAACCCTGCGCACCCTCTCCTTCGGGAACGCTCCGTCTCCTCTCCCCGGCTCCCGCGCCCGCCCCGCGGTCATCCCTCCCTCCTTCCCTCACTGCCGCTCCCCGCTCCTCGGCACCCCTCCCTCGGGGCCCCCCGGGCCTGGACCCCGGCAGCGCCCTAAGCCCGGCGCCCGGAGAGGCAGCGCCGAGCCCAGCCGCGCCACCGGGGACCGGCCACCGGGCCGGAGGGTCCCAGACCCCGCGGGGCGCAGGGGCCACCTGCCGAGGACGGCCGGGACTGCGCAGAACTAGCTTTCTCCCGGCCCTGCCCGGGCCACCCGAGCCCAGCCAGAGCGGGCGGCGGGAGCTGCCAGGTAGGGAGCTGGGCACCGGCTCAGTGCTGCAGCGGAACGAGCCCGCCGAGCAGTTTTCAAAAGCGGCAGCGCGACGTTACCAGAACGCACGAAGCAACTCTGCAGAACGGAGGAGGGCAGAGGGCTGTGTAATCCCAGTACTAAACTCACTTGTAAAACCAGTGAAAACAGTCTTTACACCGAATAAAAACTCACTAACTGCAAAGCGGATACTAAATGTAAAACATATAAAAAAACCACTGAAAATTCAAAAGAGTAAGTTTGAAAACTGTTGTGATAGAAGAGAGCAAACTGAAGACAAGAGAGCAACATTTTCTACATTATCAAAAAAAAAAAAAAAAAAAAAAAAAGAAGATAAAATAGTTTCACCAAAGAAAAAATTGAGAAAAAAAATATCTAACCTTGAGAGCAAAAAGGTCACTTGAATAATTGTCACTTCAAGTAGCAAACTACTCCGGTCACTGCTATGGACACAGGTTTACAATGGATATGGCACAGAAGTTCCCAAAGTGAAGCATTTCTGTGCCTGACATACATACTAAAACTTGCAAAATTGTGGCTAATATTCACTTAATTCTGGGTTTCTTCATAAACAGAAGATACTCTTGCTAAAACCAAATATTTAAAAGTAGTGAAAAGGAAAAGAAGGTATACTATTGTTTAATTCAGTGAAGCCATATAGAAAGTTCTTTAATACTTTGCCTCAATTACTTTTATTATTATTTTTTTTTTCAACTAAATGGTGTTTTCTCCTTCCTGCAAATTTTGTGCATGGAATACAAGAAAAATTTCAATACCATGTCAACAAAAATGTTTGTTACCTTAGGCAGGAGAAACTTGATAAAGTAACCTACTCACAGTAAAAAATTAGACCACAACCTTCTTGGATAAATAGTTCTCTTCCAGCTAGATCAGAGTTATTCAAAAGTTTGAGTACAACACATCTGATATGATTTTGATATAGCTCTTTAGAATTAAGCCTTCTCATTACCATGTGTTTCCTAAATATAATTAATGTCCTTAACATGTCTTTTTAAAGTGAGCAAATAATACCGTGTCCCTAAAAAAATACAATATAAATCCTGATCTTGCAGACATATGTTACTGCTTAATCTCGTGTAAGTGACAAATCCCATCAGATATATTTATTCTGTTGAGAATAGGGGTATCTTTAGGGGTTTCCTGATGAGGGGACAATCTGAAGCATTGCGTGCAATTCCCTTGGGAATGGTGGCTGTCCTCTGTCCCATACCATCATGACCTTCTGGCACACTGCTCATTTCTGTAACTCATCCTGCTGCCCCCAAAGCCACCACCCACCACTTTTTAGTGTCCACACCAATCTCACTAAATAAAAATAAAACCGTAGGCAGATCACTGAATTTCAAGGCTGTCAGGGCTGAGGGCACTGAAAGGCCCGACTGCCCCTTCCTGACCTCCACTAGGACCTCTGCCCAGCCTGCCCAAAGCCCAGGACTCCATGTCAGCCCCCAAGGCCATCAGTCCTTGCCCCAGCACTGCCATATTGAGGCCAGTCTCCAGCTCCCCACAGTCCTGCCCTGCCTGGCACAGCCTCAGCTCATCCCAATCCCCAGGGAGGTGCCTAATGCATAGGGTTGGTGTTGCCCGGGACCCCCTGGGCTGCCCAGCTCCTGGCTGGGGTGGCAGGATGGAATGGGCTGCCAGGTCCTGCTGTGGCTCCAGGGGGATCCCATGTGGCCCCTGGTGCCTGGCCCTGAGGGAGCTGCCAGCCTTGCAGTGCCATGCTCTGGCTTCTCCTAGGCAGCTTCTGGTCCTTCTGTTCAACATTTTCCTGAACAGGCTGGCAGATGGTGGAATGAAAAGTATGTTCATAAAGCTACAGATAACAGCAGGCTAGGGAGGTCTGTGAACTCTAGAATTTAAATTCAGAAGAGAAAAACACAAGTAGCTACATGCATTGACACACCCTGCACAGCAGAAAAACTGGAATACCGTGCAATTATTTAACTTTACTTTCCATTTATAGAGTTGTCTTGAATAATTTATCTGTCAAGAAAGAAACAGACAAACAGGATTATTCACAGGATATAGCCCTAGAGGGCAGGGGGGCCCAAGATTCTTGGTTAATATTCAAGGATCACCTACTACAAGCTCAGGATTATTGCATCCCAACTAGAAGGAAGCACAGCAGGAGGGCCAGGAGACCTCGTCGGATGGATAAGGAGCTGCTGAGGAAAATTCAAATGAAAAAAGAGTCCTATAGAAAGTGGAAGCAAGGACAGGCGGCCTGGGAAGAGTATAGGGATGTTGTCTGGGAAGCTAGGGACCAGGTTAGGAAAGATATGGCCCATTTAAACTTGGCTAGGGATGTTAAGGATAACAGGAAGGGATTCTATAGGTACATAGCAAATAAAAAACACTCTAGGGAGAACATAGGCCCCCTCTGGAAGCTCTCAGGTGAACTAGCTACACAGGATTTGGAGAAGGCTGAGGTTCTGAATGACTTCTTTGACTCGGTCTTCACTGGCAAAGGCTCTGACCGCACCACCCAAGTCTTGGAAGGCAGATGCAGGGACTGTGAGAATGAAGACCTTGGGCCCACTGTAGGAGAGGAACTGGTTTGAGACCATCTTAAAAACCTGAACATACACAAGTCCATGGGACCTGATGAAATCCATCCGTGGGTCCTGAAGGAGCTGGCAAATGAAGTTGCTAAGCCACTGGCCATCATATTTGAAAAATCATGGCAGTCAGGTGAAGTTCCCGATGACTGGAAAAAGGGAAATATAACCCCCATTTTCAAGAAGGGCAAAATGGATGACCCGGGGAATTACAGACCAGTCAGTCTCACCTCTGTGCCTGGCAAAATCTTGGAGTAGATTCTCCTGGAAGGCATGCCAAGGCACATGAAACACAACAAGGTGCTTGGTGACAGCCAGCATGGCTTCACTAAGGGGAAATCCTGCCTGATCTATTTGGTGGCCTTCTATGATGGGGCTACAGAACTGATGGACAGCAGCAGAGCAGTTGATGTCACCTACCTGGACCTGTGCAAAGCGTTGACACTGTTCCACACGACATCCTTGTCTCTAAATTGGAGAGACATCAATTTGATGGAGGGACCACTCGGTGGATAAAGAACTGGCTGGATGGCCGCATGCAAATTGTTGTGGTCAATGGCTCAATGTCCAACTGGAGACCAGTAATGAGTGGTGTCCCTCAGGGACTGGTGTTGGGACCGGTCTTGCTCAACATCTTTGTTGCTGACATGGACAGTGGGATTGAGTGCGCCCTCAGCAAGTTTGCTGATGACACCAAGCTGTGTGGTTCGGTTGATATGCTGAGGGAAGGAATGCCATCCAGAGGGACCTTGACACGCTTTTGAGGTGGGCTGATGCCAACCTCATGAAGTTTAACCATGCCAAGTGCAAGGTCCTACACCTGGGTCAGAGCAATCCCAGGCACAGCTACAGGCTGACCAGAGAAGAGATTCAGAGCAGCCCTGCGGAGAAGGACTTGGGGGTGTTGATTGATGAGGAAATGAACATGAGCCAGGAGTGTGCGCTTGCAGCCCAGAAAGCCAACCATATCCTGGGCTGCATCAAAAGGAGCATGACCAGCAGGTCAAAGGAGGTGATCCTGCCCCTCTACTCTGCTCTCGTGAGACCTCACTTGGAGTACTGTATGCAGTTCTGGTGTCCTCAACACAAAAAGGACATGGAACTGTTGGAACAAGTCCAGAGGAGGGCCACGAGGATGACCAGGTGACTGGAGAGCACCTCCCATATGAAGATAGGCTGAGAAAGTTGGGGCTGTTCAGCCTGGAGAAGAGAAGGCTGCGTGGAGACCTCATAGCAGCCTTCCAGTATCTGAAGGGTGCCGGTAAGGATGCTGGGGAGGGACTCTTCATTAGGGACTGTAGTGACAGGACAAGGGGTAATGGGTTCAAACTGAAACAGGGGAAGTTTAGATTGAATATAAGGAGGAAATTCTTTCCTGTTCGGGTGGGGAGGCACTGGAATAGGTTGCCCATTGAGATTGTGAATGCTCCATCCCTGGCAGTGTTCAAGGCCAGGTTAGACGAGGCCTTGGGTGAGATGGTTTAGAGAGAGGTGTCCCTGCCCATGGCAGGGGGTTTGGAACTTGATGATCTTAAGGTCCTTTCCAACACTAACTATTCTATGATTCTATGATAGTATGGAAAACAGGAGGTTTAGAAACATGACTTGTATTGAAGGAATGATGGAACACAGTTGCTTACCTTAGTCAAGACTGGAAGCATTTCAGGCTGTAAAAATGAACAATAATCAGTAGTTCTGACCACATAAATTCTGAAGTGCGATAGCATCTAGCAGCTTAGTGTGACTGGCAACTTTCCACCCCATGTGGAATGTTAATAAATGTTCCTTTTTTATTTACTAAAAAATATTAATGTATTAAAAAGTATCACTAACGTGTATAGACACATTTATAAATATGATCCTAAGAACAGACATTCAAAATCCTGTATGCCCTGAGGACAGAGAAATTAAAACAGTTTTAATCAATGAATGTGGCTTATGCTTGGATCTTAATAAGCAAATAGGAAAGAAAAATCAGTAGTAAATCTGCAGTATGTTGCAGATTTATTTTTCCCTGGTGCTTCTTCAAAGACCCTGCATGTTCCCATTAATTTAAACATTGCAAAAATTGAGAAGTATACTTTTCCACTGTTAC